GTTGGTCTACTACCTACTCCGCTCATATAAATATTAAATACTAATATACTATTAGGTAGATATTATTTTAAATTTTCTGAATAATAATTTGCTTTGAACTATGAAATTCAAAATGTATATGTTGTCATTTAAAAGAGTAAGCAACTTAAGTAAAAATGTAACAATAAAAAAATATTATTTTTGTCAAAAATTAAATTTTATAACTACTTACAATTATTTAACATAATTATTTTCAAAAACTTTTTGGTTTCTGAAATAATGAGTGTCTTAAGTTTAACGGGTCATCCCTTACTCTACTATTAGCTATGACACTATTTGCGAGATAGTTAATAATAATTAATAATCGTTTATGCTGGTGAGGAGTGTCATAGAAATTATAAAAGTTGAAACTTAATTAAGGATAGCTAGCGTTTTGGAGTTTGAGGTAAGCACTATTATGACGACAACTGAGAGGTCAAAATGAGTGGCAAAGAGCATATTTTCTGTTGCAGTGGAAATTGGAGATTTTTAGATTTTGATCGGGTTGTATGAACGCCTATCGGTCCCATAATTGTAGGTTTAATCGTTACAATTCAAAATATTGGACTTTATATTATGATTTATTAATGTCGATCGATTAGTTTTTATTTTGTATTTTTGTAAAACCAAGATACCTGGAGGTCACGGTACACGGGGACTTGTCGACGAATCCTGTGTGTAAGTCAAATGTCAAAAAAGATGGCTGTGGATGGCATCCACTTGAAAACAACCCCAAAAGAAGTATTGCGCACAGCAACCATGGTTCACCGTAACAGGGGTGTAGAGTACGTGACGAGTACGCATTGCGCAAACAATCTCGCCGAGAGGGATGCATCCCTGTCAAATCGACCGTGCACTAATGGACACTAAACACAAGTCAAGCATTACTAAATGTAAAAAGCGAAAACGATTCTTGGAAGTCAGCTAGGCGTCTACCTACACTCACTAGGTTCTACAGTTATGCGGGAGACTATTTGTATTTTTTATTGTTTAAACTCTGAACGACATTTAAATAGCGGATTTTAACAACAGCAAATAACGTTATTATAACAATATCAGCTGATATTAAAAAATAGTTGTAGAATAAAATATTTGTAAAATAAATAACGATTAAATAATATTAGACTGACGTCGATCAACGTTTTCATCGGCTACGACATCTTTCTAATTAAATGTGCAATACAAATTTGACCGACTTACCAATGTGCAGCTCTGAAGCCTTTTTCCATTATTTTTCCCCAAAGGACCCCAAACATAATATGGTGGAAGGAACTACTTTCACGCCTTTCAACTTTCTAACCTAACCTTCCCGCAATTAAGCATCATTTAAAATTTTGAAACAATAATATTCAAGCGCAGTATACTACAACCACAGACGCGATGTATACAGGACATGTCCTGACTTATAACAACCGTCACAATGCGTATACTGTCGTGATTGTCGTCTTTGAAATCCACGTTCACCTCACTTGAAGGTGCTGGGACGACTGGCGATCCATTGCACTCATTTGCACACAACAGTGCTTCTATCCTGGACAGATCAGCTGTCCTTTGACGGTCGACAGTCGGTAGATCTTTCCTTTTAGGTCTACCCATTAAATCCGAAGATAGTGCCCCCCTGAAGTCTAGTATTTCCCGCAGTAAGTCTAGTTTTGCTTGACTTACGGAGAATGATCAACCTCTTGAATAAATTCGGTGCCTTAATGTGACCACTCACTAGTAGCTAGACGTCAAAAACAGTGTCTAGTGGATAGGGAAATACGGAATTAGTTCCCGGGCAGAAAGAAAGTGCAGGTAAAATTTGGTTCTCGGTGAAAATGATATTCGGCTATTCCAATCGGTTTCCACACGTACTATTATAGGTAATTTTATATGTATCTGACGGCTGTGATTTTCCACCAAACATTTTTCGTCAGTATTTTCATCTGCTTCAGAACAAACTACTAACCAACTATAATAGTTGAAACTCGAAAAAGTTGATTTCAACATAGTTTTATTATTAATTATTATTAAAAAAGTGCATCTGAACCGTTTCATACTATATTACCTATAAACTACCCGAGATCAAATATTTGGTTATTAGGTGCCGACATGAAAGCGTCTTTTGAGTGACAGCTAATGTTCCGAGTATTAAAGTACCTCATTAATAATGGAAATCCTGGGCCGCATGGGCAATAATATTTAAACAGTAGTCAAGGACTTGATATTCCAGAGAATGCATGATATAAAATTCTAGGAATTCGGACTCCACTAAAAACACGAACGATGATGCGAGAAAAGGCGCAGAAAGGCATTTTGGGGAATTTAATTTCAACGAATGTCGTCTAATGCGACGCTACAATATCATCTCGTACATTTATTGTCTTATGATTTTTAAATATTTTAAACTTCGACCAATGACTATTTACCGTTAAAAAAAAGAAAACAATAATCAAATTTGTACAGGTGCACCGCTGAATCATAGACAAAATAAATAGGTCCTTCAATATGTATTGTACACAGCTGTGGCGTGCATAAATGTGTTTAATTGGTATTATAGAGTTTTTCAAGAATAAATTGATTGGAAATCCTTAGTGTTACGGCCGACCGTGAGAACCGCTCAACGTGTGTTCAGCGATCGGTTTAGGTAAACAAAGCGCAGGTGTCTACAGTAATAAACGATCCTAAATTTCCAGATGTAATATATTATATTAAAAATGGAGTGAATTGTCAATAGACAATGTTGCACTAAGTACCCTCGTCCAGTACGGACAGGTACCTACTTTTAAGTGATGACAGTCAATTTCCATTGTGTTTAAATGAATACATCGTTGTTTACAGTTATTAATTTCTACCTATTTACTATATTTTTGGGCACAATTGGAGTAAAAATAAGTCTATTTTTAATAACATAATACGCACAGCAGCCAGTAACACATTCAATTTTGGTAAATTAAAAAAAAAAATGTGTTACTCTGCATTTCATTTGTTCAATTAAACTCCCTAAAAAATATTAATTCATTCAAAACCCTTTAAAAACCTTTAGTATTAACTCTAAATGCCAGCACGACTCATTTGTTCGTTTGGCAGTTTAAACATATAATCCTCACAACAAAGTATCTACTATTTATTTACAGTTTACCTATCCGGTACTCGAATTATAATTTAAAAAAATCATGATTTTAATGTATTATCCTTTAAAGTCTAGTAGTCAACTACTAAGTAGTTACACCATAATAAACTAAATGTTTTATACGATTTTAATGTATAAATTATTTCATCAAAAATACTGGTTCGATATTCATTAAAAAAAGTGTAATTATTACAATAAAATAAAATTTCATTTCAGATATTATTATGGATAATTTATGTACAATGTTATAATTTTATGAACCATTGTATGGGCTTTAACAATAAACTGATATATTTTTACACCAAGGATAATAATAATAAATTAAACAAGTGTGATGTAAAATACCAAAAGAATTTTAGGTTTTTGAAACTTTTATAATAATTTTGTACTGTCTTTATAAATGAATTGTTCACCTACCCCTTCATACAACTTTTTGAACAGAAGCTTATAGCTTTTGGTAGTGTTAATGGTTTTCTATAAAATATAATGGCGATTTTAGAAGAACCTATAGAACATTTCACTATACCTATGAAAATACAATTTAAAATCTATTGATCATTACCAATACGATTATAATAACATAGAGCCGAGTAATGCATAATATTTCAGCAAATTTTAACACACTCAAAAGTTAATGTTTATGCAATTTTATACTTAACTTTATATTTTATAAACGTTGTAATCAGAAAGTTGTCGAAAGTTTCACGGATTTTTACAAGACCGAAAGCTAATTTAAGTATAAAAACATTTTTTTTATTTGTGTTAATTTTAAATGTATAAAACTTAGGTATAAACTGATACTGTATAATTATATATTTCTTAAAATTGTACATGATAGATAGCAATGTATAATATAATAATAAATAGCAAATTAACTATACGAGTAGTAGTAATAATAATACATTGCAGTTATCTAATCGAAATAATGTTTTTTCCCTTTTCTTATTTACCCATGTACAAACATTTGTTTTTATTATTAATCAATAATTGTAATTATGAGAGAACATTAATATGCTCCCATGATTATATGGCCAACGATATTCGTAAAAATATGAAAAAAAAGTATAGATGTATAGGTCAAAAAATTGCCAACTCTTCTGATCTGAAATGAGAATCGATATATTATAATATTATACGTCTGAAGTCGGAGAAGATAAAATAATCTATTTCAGTTAATTGCTAATAGCGATAGGTCATAAATCATAATATAATTCATAACGCTAATTAATGATCTAAACGATGCATTGGTATTTTTTTTAAATCTAGTATTTATCCTTCTTGGTTCGTTAGACAAAATAAAATTATGATTTATATTTCGGGATTTGTAAAGTTTTTACTTTTATTCGGCCATAATCGTTTTAATATTGTGTTTATGTAGAGAATTGTTAACACTATAATAACGTGCGAAATGGGTTTTCTCTAAACTGTTTTATTTAAATGTTGATTTATTGTTGTCATAATTACTATATATGTGTAAAAAATACCTCAGAAAAAATCCTCCGAAAAAATAATTTAAAAATAGTACTAAAAACACAATATATTCCAATATTTTATTTAAATATATTACTATTTACATACAATTACTTTTAATTTTTAAAATATGTTTTACATCATATATTACAAACAACTTTACTAATAAGTATAAATATTGTGGACTGCTCACATCGAGAGTTGCCTTACAACACAGTTTACCATGTTCAATACGCTCGTATATAGATTATAAAATAAAAATAAATATATTTGAATATAAATAACATAAAATAGAGATAATACAACAGTATAAATAAATAGATAGCAAAATAAAATTATATTATTACAATATTAATGATTGTTAATTTCTATAAATGATGGTTGATATTATAATATTATATAACGTGTCCTGTAACACAGACAGACATATTAATATTTTTGTGAGATCACTTCAGTAAATAGATTCTAATTAGTCTCACTAAAAATAAAAACAAATTTATATCAGATTATAAAAAATATCTTTTGAATCTGCCGACAATCACTGCAGTAAACCTACAACTGGTCACCTGATTATATTTTCTATTTCATACTTCACACCATGAAAATAACAAATATTACAAATTTCAATTGACCACTGTACTGACTACGTACTGTCAATTTTCATACGAATTGAAGCACACCAACATATAGTCTCAAAAACCTTATTATTTTTGGTTGTGATGTATCATGATGACCTACACACTGTATATCAGTGGTTCTCAAGATTTTTTCACTAATCAAATATGTGTTTCGCGGATCAGCAATATACCACTAATGACTATTTATATAAATTTATTCAAAAGTGCAATACATTTGTAACAATAATAATACTCGAAAATAATAATTTACACTTAGGCGCCTAACGGTACGATTTAATATTTGACAAACAAATTGATATAGTATTAGATTTGTTACATACATAAGGAAACACTTTTATGATTTAGATGATAGTGGACATAATAAAATAAAATTCTTGTAAATAAGCTACGGGTTGAGTATACTTTCGTTTATATTACATGCCAAAACAAATGACGACACGTGTTTTGGCGACCAACACAAAGTGACATATAAAATATGAGAATACCGTTCAAAATAAGGATAAGTGGCTGGAAAAACTCGGTAAATCATTTTGAAGATTTTAAATTTAAAAAATCAGTTTGTTTTTAAATATCGCATAGCGTTGAGCACTTTTGGTTTCATTGTACCCGGATATGCGTGCTCTGCGACATTATTATTTCCGGGGCGTTGGACGACAAACTTTGATTAACCGGTGATTAAAGTTCATAAGGGTTATATCTATAGTTCAAAATTCATAAATTAAATATTTATGTTTAAAGCTACTGAATTTGCAGTCTCGTCTGTAGTACCAGATCTAAGGGGTGGAGGAAAATTCGGGGTTCATGGCTTTAGCGAGAATCATAGAAGGGCGCAAATTTCAAATTTTTAAAGCATATTTTTTATTACATACTTTTTTTGAAACAAATCAAACCTTTTGCAGTCACATTATTCTAATAAAAGCCTTTACAAATGAGTAAGTTGTAATAAAAACTTAGTCACTCGACTTAGTTGTCTGTAGAGAAATCAATGAAATATAATATAATAATTTAAAAATTATTTTATAATTGATAAAAATAACGTTATAGATATAATGCTAATTGCGTACAACGATTTCATTTTTATCACTGAAAAATTAACAAATAATCAATTTCAGTAGGTAATTTCGTAAACCGAATCGTTAACCGAATCGAATTCGTTCCAAATTGTATTTATTTTTAAATCTAGATATATTGTTACAATATGTTAGTACATAAAAGTTATTAATCCTTTATACATTCACAGTGTTGACAGATTATCGTATCACTTGACTATATCACTTGACATTTATCATAATTTAAATCATAGATCGTAATTTTATTTTTTTCTATCAATGATTATTATGACCGGTTATATATGGTACAAAAAGAAAATGGCGCTTATCGTATAACTAAAAACTAACCAACCTTACCTCAACTGAATAGTGAATAGTGGGAGTATATTTATGGCTTATTAGTTACTTCCATTGTCCTAGGAACTTAATTCAACGATATATTTTATGAATCCGTGGTTTAAAGTCAACTATAAGTCAGTATTTAGTCGTATAGAACCTAGAAGCACACAAAGATCTAAAAATAATGTTCTGCAAGAGTTTAAAGTAAACAACAGTGAACTCGCTCATCTGTGGTATTTATTGTAAGTTTTGGTGTACCTCGTCATCGAATAGGTTACTGTTATAATGGATGTGTTAAATTTGAATTCCGTGATAAATCGTTGTACTGACTATTAGCTACTTACAATTCTGTATTTTAATACCTAGTCTGGAGTACATTGACTATACTCGATAAATCATTTAGCTCGGTATTTTTGTAAACAGCCAACATTCGAGAGTTTCGAATAAAATATTTTATGATTTATTTCCAATATCATATTATTCATGTACATCGTACGTATAATATAACACAGTAACTCTGTACACGGAATTTATTTTTGTTTTTCACGAAACCCTAAAGATCGAATACGCAAATTTCCCTACTGTTTTAAATAATATTATAATTTCGAGCTGTCTCGAGACATTTACATGGGTAAACTATTATATGCCATATGCATTATGCGTGTGGTAATAATATACTAGTAGCCAGGACTGGGGTGTGTATTATGCCGCCCAATAGCTGCCTTACATATTATATTATAAAATACAGTGGTTCCCAAACGTTTGGTTCACGCATCCCATAAAAAAAGGAAATTTGTCCTAGGCACCCGTGAAAGGTATTAAATTAAATAAAAAGTCGCATTGCTGTACCAATTATAGTATAGTGTACACCACCATTGAGCAGGTCATTTTATTGTTATATTTTATTATGGATTCGCTATATTAGATGTGTTAAATTAGAACTACGTAAACAGTTAATCATTGCGATCACTCTGTACAGGATCTAAAAAAAAACTATATTAGTAGGTAGGTGTCTAAAAATACTCAATAAGATGACCAATGCAATAATTTTTTTCTCTCTTGGACCCACGCTTTACATATAGATAAAATTATAAAACACATTCAAGTAAAATCGTTTTTTAATGATTGTTCAGTAATTTTAGAGTAAAATCGCCGATTACAAAAATAATGGATTATAATATTTCTGAAGGTTTTTCATAATGCCAGTTTCTTAGTTTTTTATTATTTGATTTTATATCCGACTTCAAATAATTTTTTGTTAATGAGCAGGTACCTATTAAATAGCTTAGAGATAATATTAAGACAATTCAATATATCATACCATCAAAAATATTGTTAACATAATTTTTGTGGTTATTGATTCAACTCTATGATAAATTACTCATAAACATTTAAAAAATTAATGACTTTGCATGAAAGAATTTTTTTTATGAAATAAATGTAAATAAATATAAATTTGTTTATTTACGTGGGTCAGAGAGAGAAAACAAACATCGAGCTGAAATCCTCTTAACTTCGTATGTTTATTTATTTTTTTAATAGACAGAGTATTATCTTAGTGTATTTCGTAGATAAAAAAATATATTGAATTCGAATGTTGTGTCTTATCCACGTATTAAAGTTTGAAAATTATATACTCAAATTGCATCACGCATCACGAACCGCTGTCTGAAAATAAGACGTGTACATTGTCACTCGCATTTTGGGAACCACTGACAATAGTACGATATAACTTCAGTAAAATAATAATAATATCATGCGGGTTATCGGTGTACGTGCAATGGTTGGTGCGGGTTAGCGTGGTTACCACTTACCGCGATACACAATATGTCCTGGTGAACGTTACCGCACGATACCTGCATGTTCACTCCGGGAGAAACTATGTACCTACCTAAGCACTTTGGACGAATACTCTGTGGATTCGTTGAACTCCCTGTAGGTGTTATTATGAAGGGCTATATTAATATAACATTAACATTATTCGATACCTACGCGTAAAATATACCTCACGCAAAGCTCACGACGTCGATCGCCTAGGACACATATTTTTATTAAAAGTTCGAACATTTTTCACTGTTCTGGTGTCGTGCAGGACGAAATAAGTTTTTACTTTTTATTAGGTTCCGCGATATTCCGTGGAAAAATGTCTAATAAATATTGACGTATCGGACGCGGCGCGTGGGTTTTATGCGTGCTACTTGAAATATTAACAAATTACCAATTTTAAGAAGTGGCTGAAATTTCGTTGTTCTTATATAGGTTTTGAAAATGTCAAACCTTTATAATATGGGTTGCATTGTTTTTTCATCGTACACGGCAATAAGTACCCACGGAAAAGTTTTGAAAGCTTCTGCAGCAGTATAATAATGGTTTGACCACTATTTTTTTTTCATCCTGAAATTTATGTTTGAAAAACAAAACTTTATTTGTGTTCTTCAGGAACACGTCGAGATCCAGAATCCAGATGTGCCGCTCGTAAATGTGTACGTAATCGTATTCTTGTGTTGTCCTAGGGCAATATATTAATTATTTACCCTGTGTCTAGGACGAAAATGTATTATCCCTTTTTTTCTGGTACATAACACTGATGCTCACAATGTGATCGGAATAATGAATACCTAATGTTTATACATAAAAAATGCAGTAAAAACCCAGCATGCGTAAAATAGAAAATTATTATCCTCCTCTTCTTTCGTTATAATATGCGCATTATACAGTACAAGTACCTACTCTAAATATAGTATATGGTCGGGCAATACATATATATATATATCAAAACGTATCGACTGATACATATTATTGTACGTTACCTTCGTAGTAGTGCTTGAAGCAGAATATTAACAGTCGGGTAGGTTTTTAAAATGATTTTTTAAGTTCGATAAACACATAGAAAGTGGACAATTGCCTTCACTGTGTAACTCTGTATAGCTATGCGAGAGAGCCTAACGAAGCGAGACGAGCGCCCAACATTTTATCCGTCAATACTACTTCAGTTCTTTCATCTTAAGCTGTAACGTTTCCCTACTATAATACATATTATTATTACACGGTGAAGTGTTTTGTTTGTATTTTATGTTCGAAAGATAACGCCTCTTTGAATAACTTAATTTGTGATTATGATTGGCACATATAGTGCAATGTGTGCATCTACCCGAAAATGTCACGCACATCACACAGCTGAAAAAAAAATAGTGACTTAACTTATAAACTATGACGTTCAGAAAACTTTAACTTTGAGTTTTAAATTTGCCCCCTTGAATCTTATTTTGGTATAGTTTAAAAATAATCCATACAAAAAGTGTTTATATATATATATATAATATAATATATATATATAGTTTCAAAAAGTCAACATTCTAATAAAAAATAACTTACTCTAAGTATAGATAAGGCCGTCATCTCAACTTTTTTTTAAGGTATGCTAACAGGCCAATGTGCTATAGAGGTTGCAGTAGGTATAGAGTTATATTGTTTAGAAGACAGATCCGAAAATCCTCGGTCACACATAAACTATTAATTAATAGGAACTAATAAACCATTTCAGTTCACGTTTATCGCCCAACATGAACAGACGTCCTTTTCGTTTGTCCGTTATCTTTTGCACACTACACTAATGAGCTTAACTTATTATTGTTAATCAAAGCATGTCTCGGAATACCTCGAAACGCAATTTATCTTCATCGTCATCTCCACCTACCAAATCCAGCGGAAACCGAAGTAAAGTATTCATCACGCCTAATCGCTATGCTTCACTCTCCGAGGACGTCATTTTTGATCGGGAGGTGATCCCTCTAGCGCAATACCTTCCAAAGACCAGTGCAGCACACCGCCCAGCCGCCTGGAGTCCTCTTCAAGTAAAAATTTTTTTTGGCACCTCCCTTTTATTTAAGCAGTGGATACGAATTAAACACTCTCAAGAAATCTCTTTTTGACCTTGTCAATCCTTCGGGTATTCATTTTAAAAATACTCCAAAGCATCTAATTATCCGCACCGACGGAGCCACCAATTATAATTTAGTTACTAGTTGCTTTATCACTAATGAAAAGATTAAATTCCACACTTATCTGCCTAATCCATTGAAACCATATGCCATATTTATCAGGCACCTCTACCAGTACACTGCTGTGGAAGACATACAGCCAGCCTAATTGATATGGGACACGAAGTTATTCGGGTCTCTAATATTCTACATCGAATCACTAAAAGACCTCTGCCTCTTTTTAGTATTGATTTAAAAGCTGCTGAAAACAACAGTGATATTCTCAAATCAGATCTGCTTCTTCACACCAGAATCAAAATAGAGCTGCCAAAGAAAATACGCTCCCCTCCACAATGCCATGATTGTCAAGCTTTTTATCACACTAGCAATTTTTGCCACCAGTCCCCACGTTGCGTCAAATGTGAAGATAATCATTTCACGGTCGATTGTACCAAATCACCGTCAGAACCCACCAAATGTGCCTTATGCTCGGGGCCACACACAGCCTCATACAAAGGATGTCCAGTGTATGAAAAACTAAGTGAAAACCGCAGAAAATCTATATCACACAAACCATTTCATCATCCGACTCTCAATCACACCATAACGCCTATAAACAAATCAATCTCCAGCTCCAGCCAGAAACAAAAACGTTCATACGCCAAAATTACTGCCAACATTTCACCCTCAACAGTTACGCCTGAAATTATGATCTCCAAATTTATCGAGGACTTTAAAGCCATAATTAATCCTTTATTACTTCTACTAACTACAGTTGTCAATCATCTACTCACATCTTCTCTTTCTATTCCTTCTCCTTAAAATTATGTAATACTTTTATTTGAAATTATGTTGATATATTATATTGTGTACATTGTTTTGTTTATTATGGCATCAATTTACAAAATTGCTGTTATTACATAACCACAAACACTAATATTGTACCTTTCTTTTTTTCTTATTTAACATCATTATCACATTATACTATTTCATTAGGCCTCATTACCTTAATTACTACTTCTGTACCTATACAATTTTCTTATTATGCTTGTTATTATTTTAATTGTTGAACTATAATAGTATGTACTGGAAGTTCTGAATAAAAAAAAAAATTAAAAAAAAAGAAACCATTTTTATATTTCATTTAAATATAACACATTAATGATAATATATCACATGGCCACAGTTGCCGATTTATACCTAGTTAAGACCAATTAAAAAAAAAAAGATTATTTTTTCCCAGCACAAAAAAATTATAGTCAGTCCAAAATGCGAATATAAGACGTCCCCCCACCCCGTGACGTATTGCCCCTCATACAATGGACGGCCCCCCTCCCCAAACGGGACAAATTCACCCCTGACAAAAAATAAAAGTAAAACTATTGAACAATAATAATAATATTCAATGCAAATTTATTTGTTCACTATAATTCTATAAAATTAATACTCAAATATAATTCAATAATTCGTCATAGTAACACTTGTTATTTGTCAAATGCCAATACAATTTCACTAATATAAATATTAAAAATATTAAACACTATACAAATACAAATTATAAATACTTACACAAATATGATGTAATTAAATAATACAAGTAAAAAAAAAACGTAACTTATATTTTTTATTCTAATAATATAGCTCACGGAAATTAAAAAATTCAAAATATTATCATTTGAAAAACTTTTACACAACTTTTTAAACTTGTCGTCTTTACCTAAATTATTACAAAAAACCCTTACTCCATAATTTAAAATGTTTATTGGTGCACTTGAGTTGCTCATCTGTAGAGCTTCAATAAAAACGTGAATGATGATAGTCAATAGATGTTGATAAGATAATTGTATATTTCGGTTACAACCGAAGAACCTCATTTCCAAAATAGTATTATGTGAAAAAAAATATGTATTGATTCGGGCAGGAAAAGTCTCGTCCGGGGGGGAATATCCAAATACTCCAAAATGTAATCTCGATACATTTTGGAGTTGACACCCCTGAGAATGGGTTTAGGTTCAGTATATCTGATGATTCAGTGTGAGCCGGCATGCTTATACAGGCCACAGCCAAAAATGGTTGACCTTTTAAATTTGATCTAATCATCGTCTTGAAATGGTTCGTCACGTGAGTCTCATTTTCATAATAAACCTCGATGTTATAGGAAGAGAAATCGATATGAACTAAATTATCTTTCACTCGAATTATTTGTATTTATTTTAATTTTTAAGTAGATACCGCTATTGTAATATTATCTGCAAACGGTTATCATTTATCTGACAGTGGATAATCATTATGTTTTGTCACACGCACTATACTCGTACAGCTAAATCAACACAATATTAATTTATGAAATAATTAACCTGATTATCTTCAAAAGCATCATTTTTATTAATATATTATGCATTTTATATTCATGTGCCGTGTTTATTATAATATACAAACTACGCAGTCATCAGTGTAATAATTAATATTTACTAACAAACTGTAATAATTGAAATTTGAAACTATGCGAGACAAAAATATGCAGTTCATTTTTAATATAATACTGTGAACATTGTTTTTTATGGTTATGATAATAATAATATTGTATAAATTAAATAACCAAAAATAAACTAAATTACCAATGAATATGATCACAAGTTCTATTATATGTTAATATAACTTTGAAGAAAAAGTTGTATAGGTATCTAGACGACTAGTGGTTTTTACAAAATTATTAATATTATTTTGATAAAAAAATTGAAGTTTTTTTATTATGTAATAAACATTTACGTTTATAATATGAAAGTTTTTCTTTCGCGATATTTTTCATTTACATAGATTTACTCTTCTGTCGAAAAAATTGTCTCGCAACGTCGTTTCATTCCAGCTTTTATTGCATGAGTTTACCCACCTTCAACACTTTAATATATTTAATAATATAATATTGTACTATGACGTATAAGACGCTATTACCACTCATTTTGAGTACAAGCAAAAACTGTTTCCATTCCAATGAATTTAGCCAAAAAATAAAAAACGTACTAATTCAATGACTTTAAAATTGAAATTGTCCGATTATTGCTTTTTTTTTCTTGCAATCGTTATGGAAAAATCGTCGAGCGCCAAGAGTGTAAATAAATCAGACGATATTAATTATTTGTTGTTTTAATCAATATTATAACTTGTCACCGACTGAATGTACAATATAATATGATGAATAATATCCTTAATATTGTTTACGTGTCTGGTCTATTACTCTCATGTCGTGAGAACAGACACCAGACAGATGTCTCTGACACAACCCTACACTCTAACCGCAAGAAATTAATAAATATAATGTTCAGGTCAACAGCAACACTTAAGTAAATAAACATCGAAAATGTTATGAATTCGTTTATATTATTTCGTACAAAAGTGAATGAACAATGTGCTGTTTGCCATTTCACTGACATGGTAAATGACTCAGTCTGGGTAACGCTACAATTTGCTCTTTTGTCTGATCCTGTCTTATGACAACCGATACAAAAGTCTGTTTATCTGACACTTTACAGTAATTATTGTTTAAGAATAAAGTTGATGGTTTGGAATTTCATCAGAATACGGGTATACTATCGTATTTTCAGGAACCTACAAGTAGTTTCTATTATAAAAAAATAAATGTTTTAAATTACCAACTTGTATAAAACAGAATTCAGCTAAAACTAATATAAGTTAGTTTAAAATCTGGTTTTATTGTATAATTGCCAGTTGGTATAACGATATTCTAATTCTAAATAATACCTACTCGTAGTTTATTTTTATTTTTACGCTTCATTTTGTTTTATGAATCATTAAAACCGTCTTTATTTTTTTTTTAAATGCACGAGTGAAATAACTATCGAATTAAAAATATTTCTACACTCTTGGCATAATACGCTTACGCGAGCAACGAGTATTGAATATAGGAATTTTAAAACGTTGGTTGGTCAGGAATATTGTATGTGGGTATTTACTATTTAAATAATTCGTTTTGAAACCCCTGATATACAATATGTAGGTGTTCAAGTTTGATAATATATTCTGTTTAAATAATAGTAAGCACTAATGATAATAATTCCTGAACAGTCTTATTTAAAATTAAAAAAAAATTACACTTCTTCGTGCAAACGCTTTAAAACTCCGTCGATATTGATGATCGCCTTGTTTAGAGGGTCCGTCCTTCTACATAATACATAAATATATTATACACAAATAGTCTGTTAAAATTTTTTTGAAAATGCTTGTCTGATTACCTATATTATATTATTTT